CCCCCCCCATGTACCAAGCTCGTCGCTGACTCTGCCCTTCCCCTGTCCCTGGTGATCTCTCCCTGCAGGCTCCCGTCCAGGAGCCTCCTCCCTCCTCACCGTCACAGCCCTCCTCTGGAGCACTAATCGGTATCTGAAAGAGTGTTGCTCACTCATTGGTTTATTGTCACCGTCTCACTGGAATTTAGTTTCCGACAGTATTTTTTCCTGCCCTGTTCACGCTGTAACCCCAGCGTCTAGAAACCCGCCTGAGCCAAAGGCTCGGTCAAGGCACTGACTGAATGCCACTGGGCTCATTTCTGCGAATATAACCATAAACAACCAGCAGTTGCCTTTGAGAGGTAGGACATTCAACAGAAAGAAGTAAAAGCAGGGAGTCAAATGAGTCTTCCATAGAGCGCCCAATGTCTCGTTTGACCACAGCGTGTCGGGATGTATTAAAACTGCAGCACCTGAGGTTTTTCTGTTCCTGAATTATCTTCTTTCCTGAAAATTGTGTAGGATGGTTAATTTTATGGCTCACTTGGTTTTTTATTAAAGGATGATTCCCGGGTTTTGTTTCTGTAACCGCTTTCGGCCAGCCAAGGCCTCCGCAATGTAACCCAACCCCTTTGCGCAAGCGCCCGGCTGCGAAATTCGCGGCGCCCAGGGCTTCACATTGCGCATGAGCAACCAGAGGCGCCGAGGCAGGAAGTACTGCGCAGGCGCGTTTGGCAGACTCGCTAGGTGGTGCGCTCTGGGAGGCGGCGACCCAGGCATCTGGGGAGCCACGGAAGTCGCGTTCCCTTAAACTGTGAGTTTCCGACCGTTTGTTCCATGACGCGGGATTGTGAGGGATTACAAGCGAGTTCTGGATCGTCACTTCGGTCTTGTCGCAGCGCAGTACCCCCGACCCGTCCTGGGGTCCGGCTGGCCTGCGGCGGGAAGTCGTGCGCCTGCGCACTAAGCATCCCGTTCCGTCTCGGGGCCGCGGGAGGACGGTCCTTCCCCGCTGAGCTCGCGGTCCGCTCTCCGGGAGGGATCCCATTCATTCCCCTTCCCTTCCTCCTTCCGGCGCTCGTGCCCCGTGTGGTGTCAGGTCTCCACCAGCTTGCATGGGGCCTTGGACGAACTTCCTGGCGCTCCCTTTCAGTAGTCAAACGATTTCCTCCTCCTGTCCTCTTCCTCCTCCCGTCCTCTTCCTCCGGTGAAACCGCTCTACCCAGTAA